TGAGTGGAGTTGAGGGAATGCAGGCGGTTATGTCGAGCGACATCTCAATTGCTCAATTCCGGGTTTTGGAACAATTGCTATTAGTCCATGGACATTGGTCTTACCGAAGAATTTCTTCAATGTTAAGAATTCTGTAAAAAAAATCCCCAAATTTGATGCACAAGGGTATGTCGTATATTGAATATTTGATTGATTTTGTTGGTTTAATTTTTGCAGATATGCTATTTTTTCTATAAAAACATCGTATTTGGAACCACGATTTTCTTGTATGAAGCTTATGCATCATTCTCAGCTCAACCTGCGTATAATGATTGGTATTTGTCTCTTTACAATGTCTTCTTCGCATCGCTTCCTGTCATTGCATTGGGAGTATTTGATCAAGATGTATCTTCTCGATTTTGTCTCAAGGTATTGAAAATTCAAATATTGTATCTTTTTTATTTAATGGATTTAATGGAGACAAGACTTATTAGGGTTTTTTTCTTTTTGACTTATTCTAGAAGCTTTTCAAATTTATAGTTTTTTATATGGTAAATATTATCTTAAATATGGTATGATTTTATTTATTTTTTGCTTATTCTACAAGCTTTTCAAATTTACAGTTTTTTATATGGTAAATATTATCTTAAATATGGTATGATTTTTATTTATTTTTTCCTTATTCTACAAGCTTTTCAATTTACAGTTTTTTATATGGTAATTATTATTTTTAAAAGATAGTATGATTTTATCTATTTTCTACTTATATTTGACATGGTATACTGATATTATTTTGGATATCATACCATATATAAAACATCTTTTAAGTATGGAAATGATATTACATTTCAGAATCTTTATGTCATATCAGCGTTAACCAAATTTATATTTTCCTATATTTTGTAAAAATATATTAACCATCTTATATTGATATTATTTTCGATATCATACCATATTTATGAAAATATTGTATATTTATTATATAATTTCCTTATATTAGACATGGTATATTGATATTATTTTGGATATCATACCATAATTAAAACATATCTTAAGTATGGAAATGATATTACATTCCAAAATCTTTATGTGATATCAGTATTAACCAAATTTATTTTTCCCTATAAATATATTGTCTACGATTTTTCATTACAAATCAAAATTCTCTCTAACCAATTATCCCCTTCCATTGCAGATAATAGTATTCCATGGCATCTAACAATGCAGATCAGATCGTCTTTGATAAGGTTGCTGAAATCAACGCATCTAAAGAGTCTTGGAACATACGTGTTAAAGTCGTCATGCTTTGGAAGCCGACCTATATAAACAATCCTAATATGGTCGCAAGCCTGGACATGATTTTAATTGACCAGGAGGTACTGTTTTTACACCATTTGTTTTTTAGATTATCAATTTCTTATGTTATCTCTATTCAAAAAAATTGAAATTCGATTTTTGTTATGCTTTTTTACTTCTATTCATACAATTTTAACAATTTTAATAATCAATTGTATTATTTTTAAAAATAAACTTTAGTCTATGTAATGAAATCTCTTATTGTTCCTTTTTTTTAATATTTTTTTTACACTTTTTTATCTTTCATTGTCACCTACAGGGAAGTAGAATTCAAGCAACAATAAAAAAAAATCTTATTCCTGTATTTGAATCCCTATTCGATGAAGGAGCTGTCCGGGAGATCAGTTACTTCGCTATGGCTAGCAATGAAAGCGAATACATTGGTCAACTCTCCGCGTCGACCATTTGTCGTTCATCACCAAAACAAAAGGCATTGGTTACACGACTTGTTAAAGAGGGAACCGGAAAGACGACATTAGCAATCGGCGATGGAGCTAACGATGTCGGAATGATTCAAGAAGCCGACATCGGAATCGGAATGAGTGGAGTTGAGGGAATGCAGGCGGTTATGTCGAGCGACATCTCAATTGCTCAATTCCGGGTTTTGGAACAATTGCTATTAGTCCATGGACATTGGTCTTACCGAAGAATTTCTTCAATGTTAAGAATTCTGTAAAAAAAAATCCCCAAATTTGATGCACAAGGGTATGTCGTATATTGAATATTTGATTGATTTTGTTGGTTTAATTTTTGCAGATATGCTATTTTTTCTATAAAAACATCGTATTTGGAACCACGATTTTCTTGTATGAAGCTTATGCATCATTCTCAGCTCAACCTGCGTATAATGATTGGTATTTGTCTCTATACAATGTCTTCTTCACATCGCTTCCTGTCATTGCATTGGGAGTATTTGATCAAGATGTATCTTCTCGATTTTGTCTCAAGGTATTGAAAATTCAAATATTGTATCTTTTTTTTATTAATGGATTTAATGGAGACAAGACTTATTAGGGTTTTTTTCTTTTTGACTTATGAAAACCTAGAAGAATGTTCTTTTCTCTATTTGGGAGAAGCTTTGGGCATTTCGTACAAGTTGTAAAGAAAGATGTCGATTTTCTCAAGAAGAATTTCAGTCTCCTTCTTGGCCTCGGCCTTATTATCTAGGTTTTGCTTTTTCTCACTTTCTCCATAATCTCTATTTTTGGCATAATTTACTTGTAATTATAATTTCAAGAAATCCTGCAGCTATTTCTTCAAATTATTTCCATTTCCACCTTTTGTTGGTATCTACGCTAAATGACCAATTTCATTCGACAGCCGAACTTCACTTGCTCATGCTCATGCCAATGAAGATAACCATATTGCTGATGCTGAATCTGATGGGTTTGAATTGGAAATCAGTGCTCTTGTCATGAAACTAAGGCCAATCAAACAGGTCTGTGATCTGTCTTATTATTCCTTTTAAAAATTTAAGTTATTGTTTTATAGAAGATTACAATAAGATAAGATATCTCTTCTTTCAGGAGTCTTTAATTCGTGTTAACAACAAACTTATATTGTTGGCATCCCTAGTAATTCATTGGAGTAAATTGTCGATTCTATAGAAAGGCAAGTTCTTATTTTATGTATCGATATATGAAACACATGTTTTTTTAAAGAAAAGATGTGTCATGTAATCTACAGGTTTGGAAATGCATCAGCAAAAGCATCTGATGAAGAAGTGGTACAAGAACAGAATGATGTTAAGCCGACACCTGGGCATGGGCATCATAAACTCCCATGTTGGGGTTATCTTCTTTAAAGCTCACTGGTTTGCTCCGTTTGATCTTCAATTTCTTCTCCTCTTTTTGTGTTTAGGTTTCTGTTTTACTCCATGTTGACTTTGATTTCGATATATATCATATAAGTAACAGTTGAACAAGAACTCATCCATGCAGTTTCTGCCACCAATGATCACAACAACACAATAAGAACAGGTTAATCCAAAGTCAAACACCCTTTTGTGTTTTTCCAAATCCATTTTCAATCAAACAAATCATAACTCTGGATAGATTAATTTCCTTGGATTCAGGAACACTATGGAGTACAGTTGCTTACATCATCACTGCAGTCTAATCTTTCATGTACGTATTTGTACGTAGTTTCTACATTAAGTAGTATTATTCGGTTCGGTCAACAGGTGAAAAACAGGCGTTGCTATGTGGTTGGCTTTCAGTTTCTTACTTCTTTGGGACTGGTTTGCTTATGTGGTTACAACCTCAACTTGTATGATGTAATTAATTAACTATGCCTCTTTATCAAATGTTTTCAAAGAGATGTTTATTGTTCATGTATACAACACTTTATCCATACACTTTATCCATACAGAGCAATTCAGAAATCAAATTGTTACCATAAAGAAGGGCAGGAGGCTACATGTGAATATTCGGGCAAAGAGTCTCAATATTTAAAAGATAAATTAGATTACACATGTCAAAGAGTCTCAATATTTATAACTGTTATGTATGGTCTATCAACACTTTACCACCCATGTTTTAATTTATAAATACGTAATGTATAAATATGATTACACTAGACTGTTATGTTCTATAGCTTCATTTATTCTATTCAATATGGACAATTTAAGAGCTGTAAGCACTTAATCGATCAGGGATCATCAGGTTTTGTAGTATTTTGTCGAAGTTTATTAAAATATTATATATGTATTATATTTTTTCCTTATGCTACAAGCTTTTTCAATTTACATGTCAAAGAGTCTCAATATTTTATAACTGTTATGTATGGTCTATCAACACTTTACCATCTATTTTTTAAATTTATAAATACGTAATTTTAAATATGATACACTATTTGTTATTGTTCCTATAGCTTCATTTATTCTATTCAATATGACAATTTAAGATGATGTAAGCACTTAATCATTAGGGGCATTTTAGTAATTTTGTCGAAATTTATGAAAATATTGTATTTTATTCTATAATTTCCTTATTCTAGAAGCTTTTCAAATTTATAGTTTTTTATATGGTAAATATTATCTTAAATATGGTATGATTTTATTTATTTTTTGCTTATTCTACAAGCTTTTCAAATTTACAGTTTTTTATATGGTAAATATTATCTTAAATATGGTATGATTTTATTTATTTTTTCCTTATTCTACAAGCTTTTCAAATTTACAGTTTTTTATATGTAATTATTATATTTTAAAAGATAGTATGATTTTATCTATTTTCTACTTATATTTGACATGGTATACTGATATTATTTTGGATATCATACCATATATAAAACATCTTTTAAGTATGGAATGATATTACATTCCAGAATCTTTATGTCATATCAGCGTTAACCAAATTTATATTTTCCTATATTTTGTAAAAATATATTAACCATCTTATATTGATATTATTTTCGATATCATACCATATTTATGAAAATATTGTATATTTATTATATAATTTCCTTATATTAGACATGGTATATTGATATTATTTTGGATATCATACCATAATTAAAACATATCTTAAGTATGGAAATGATATTACATTCCAAAATCTTTATGTGATATCAGTATTAACCAAATTTATTTTTCCCTATAAATATATTGTCTACGATTTTTCATTACAAATCAAAATTCTCTCTAACCAATTATCCCCTTCCATTGCAGATAATAGTATTCCATGGCATCTAACAATGCAGATCAGGTCGTCTTTGATAAGGTTGCTGAAATCAACGCATCTAAAGAGTCTTGGAACATACGTGTTAAAGTCGTCATGCTTTGGAAGCCGACCTATATAAACAATCCTAATATGGTCGCAAGCCTGGACATGATTTTAATTGACCAGGAGGTACTGTTTTTACCCATTTGTTTTTTAGATTATCAATTTCTTATGTTATCTCTATTCAAAAAAATTGAAATTCGATTTTTGTTATGCTTTTTTACTTCTATTCATACAATTTTAACAATTTTAATAATCAATTGTATTATTTTTAAAAATAAACTTTAGTCTATGTAATGAAATCTCTTATTGTTCCTTTTTTTTAATATTTTTTTTACACTTTTTTATCTTTCATTGTCACCTACAGGGAAGTAGAATTCAAGCAACAATAAAAAAAAATCTTATTCCTGTATTTGAATCCCTATTCGATGAGGAGCTGTCCGGGGATCAGTTACTTCGCTATGGCTAGCAATGAAAGCGAATACATTGGTCAACTCTCCGCGTCGACCATTTGTCGTTCATCACAAAACAAAAGGCATTGGTTACACGACTTGTTAAAGAGGGAACCGGAAAGACGACATTAGCAATCGGCGATGGAGCTAACGATGTCGGAATGATTCAAGAAGCCGACATCGGAATCGGAATGAGTGGAGTTGAGGGAATGCAGGCGGTTATGTCGAGCGACATCTCAATTGCTCAATTCCGGGTTTTGGAACAATTGCTATTAGTCCATGGACATTGGTCTTACCGAAGAATTTCTTCAATGTTAAGAATTCTGTAAAAAAAATCCCCAAATTTGATGCACAAGGGTATGTCGTATATTGAATATTTGATTGATTTGTTGGTTTAATTTTTGCAGATATGCTATTTTTTTCTATAAAAACATCGTATTGGAACCACGATTTTCTTGTATGAAGCTTATGCATCATTCTCAGCTCAACCTGCGTATAATGATTGGTATTTGTCTCTATACAATGTCTTCTTCACATCGCTTCCTGTCATTGCATTGGGAGTATTTGATCAAGATGTATCTTCTCGATTTTGTCTCAAGGTATTGAAAATTCAAATATTGTATCTTTTTTATTTAATGGATTTAATGGAGACAAGACTTATTAGGGTTTTTTTTCTTTTTGACTTATTTAAACCTAGAAGAATGTTCTTTTCTCTATTTGGGAGAAGCTTTGGGCATTTCGTACAAGTTGTAAAGAAAGATGTCGATTTTCTCAAGAAGAATTTCAGTCTCCTTCTTGGCCTCGGCCTTATTATCTAGGTTTTGCTTTTTCTCCACTTTCTCCATAATCTCTATTTTTGGCATAATTTACTTGTAATTATAATTTCAAGAAATCCTGCAGCTATTTCTTCAATTAATTTCCATTTCCATTTCCCACCTTTTGTTGTATCTACGCTAAATGACCAATTTCATTCGACAAGCCGAACTTCACTTGCTCATGCTCATGCCAATGAAGATAACCATATTGCTGATGCTGAATCTGATGGTTTGAATTGGAAATCAGTGCTCTGTCATGAAACTAAGGCAATCAAACAGGTCTGTGATCTGTCTTATTATTCCTTTTAAAATTTAAGTTATTGTTTTATAGAAGATTACAATAAGATAAGATATCTCTTCTTTCAGGAGTCTTTAATTCGTGTAACAACAAACTTATATTGTTGGCAATCCCTTAGTAATTCATTGGAGTAAATTGTCGATTCTAAGAAAGGCAAGTTCTTATTTTATGTATCGATATATGAAACACAATGTTTTTTTTAAAGAAAAGAGGTTCATGTAATCTACAGGTTTGGAAATGCATCAGCAAAAGCATCTGATGAAGAAGTGGTACAAGAACAGAATGATGTTAAGCCGACAGACACCTGGGCATGGGCATCATAACTCCCATGTTGGGGTTATCTTCTTTAAAGCTCACTGGTTTGCTCCGTTTGATCTTCAATTTCTTCTCCTCTTTTGTGTGTTTAGGTTTCGGTTTTTACTCCATGTTGACTTGATTTTCGATATATATCATATAAGTAACAGTTGAACAAGAACTCATCCATGCAGTTTCTGCCACCCAATGATCACAACAACACAATAAGAACAGGTTTAATCCAAAGTCAAACACCCTTTTGGTGTTTTTCCAAATCCATTTT